TGGTGGACAGTGTTGGCTGAAGCTTCCCAACTAAATCAAGCCTGGAAGCAGGAGCGGCATCCACTTCCAAAATGGCTTGCCTCTGGAAACTCTATGTACGAACAGTGCTCAGGCTGTTCGTTCATAGGGTCGCTATGAGTCGTCTACGACTCGACGGCATTAAACAACAACAACAACAACAAATCCCTAGAAACTGTAGTATGTAGGTTGAAAAGAGATGAAAGAAGAATGTTTTGGTTGGAAAGAAGACTCTGACGACGAGATGACTCTAGCTGTACTCTCCTTCCATTGCTTGGAGCATCTTCCATAGATGGTTTGGACCATGTCACCCCACAGGACCATGCCACCCCATACTATCAATCTCATCCTCTGTTGTCAATACAAACATGTGCCATGCCTCCTAGAATGTTACTCAACCATTTAAAAATTTTTATATTTTATACTATAAAATATATTTATATATTTTAAAAAAAGCAAGTGAAGAATTCCAGAAGAATGTCTATTTGTACTTTATTGACTTTGCAAAAACATTTGACTGTGAACTAAGGCTAGCACTGAGGAGAATGGGAATCCCAGAACACTTACTTGTGCTCATGTGAAGCCTATGCCTAAAGCAAAAAGTTGTGTGAATGGAGCAAGGGAACACTACAATGTTTAAAATTAAGAAAGACATGTGTCAGGGTTGTATCCTTTCACCATAGCTATTTAATCTGTAGGGTAAGCACATTACTCAGGACCCTATGAAGAAGAATGTGGCATCAGAGTCAGAGGAACACTCATCAATAACTCGTTATACATATGACACAACCTTGCTTACTGTAAGCGAGGAGGTCTTAAGGCACTTGCTTCAGAAGATCACTGTAGCCTTCAATATGAATTACATCTCAACATTAAGAAATAAAAATTCTCGCCACATCATGATAAATGGAGAAAAGATTGGAACTGCTGCAGACTTCATCTCACTTGGATTCATTATCAACACTCAGAAGATGTATATTGCACTAGAAAAGACTACAGTAGAGACTTCTCCAAGTTACTGAAGAGCAGCGAGGCCAGTT